TAAAAGTGGGCCACTTGTTAAAAGAGTAATAATCGCCTATACCTACCCTAATACTGTGAAAGCTGCCACTAGGCTTAGCTCAGCACAGGTCAGCTCATGAAGTGATAATGTGATTTAAGTGGACCCTCCCCTTGCACCACATGGGTGGAAATGCTTGAGGGGACACTGCACTTCAGAAAAGTCATGAGTCCACAAAAAAGCCACCATGCACACAGGCCCCTGCAGCTGTGCTGTCCTTGACAAGTTATTGAACTTTCTATCCTTAAGACGTTTGAATGTAAAAATAAAGATACTGGGCTTAAAACTGTCTTTTATGTTTGTCCCCAGTGATTCTTTTTTTTTTTTTTTTTGGTCAATTAATAATAGTTTTTTATATCCCATGAAATTAAGTTATTTAATTCTGTAATAGATTGACATATTTATTCTCCTCTGTGTTTTGATCAAGGAAGATCAAAACCATATATTCTAGTAGAAATTTATATTTCATTCTTCTCAAGAAAAGACTGAGTAGCAGGGTGCAGTGGCTCACACCTGTAACCCCAGCACTAGGGAGGCTGAAGCAAGTAGATTGTTGCAAGTTCAAGACCAGCCTGGGCTACAAAGTGAACTCAAGGCCAGCCTGAACTGCATAGTGAGACCCTATCTCAAAAAAAAACAAAAGACTGAGTAGTCTGTCATTGTAATGTCCTGACAAATTTCTAAAACACTTTCTTAAAGTGTGAATATGGGAAGAACGCAAGCTGCATTCATCAGAAATCAAAAGTTGCTGCAGGCCTGGGAGATAGTTCAGCACCTTAAGCACCTGCTTGGCAAGCGCAAGGAACTGAGTTCAATCCCCAGTACTGCTCAATAATTAGTTAACTAATTAATTAATTAGTTAGTTGCTGCAGCCTACTACCATGTATGTTCCTTAAGGGAAAGGCCTGTGTCTATGATTATCTTTCCTAATTCACCATATGATTTTGCACATGTTAGATGCTCAATAAATATGGCTGACAATGGTGTCCCCCTTATCCGGACTCAAGTGCTCTCTCTTTATCCCTCTTATTCCAAAACCTCCAGATGCCTGGAACTGCAGATGCTACAACACCCTGCACATGGACAGTGTTCCTCTAACATACAGCTACAATAAAGCTTGAATTATAAATTAGGCACAGGAAGAATGCTAACAATAAGCAACGAAGGAGAACAATTAGCATACCATAATAAAAGTTACATGAATAGGATCTTTCTGTCTCTGTCTCTCCCCAAAGAATACTGCCCTCCCCTTATTGTCAGGGTGTTAGATGATTTCTACAGGAAGCACTGGAAGGCTTCTCTTTGCCAGTATCAGGACTCTCACACTTCGGCATGATTGAGTAAAATGGAGCTACTTGAACTCAAGAACTGTGAGGCTATGACAGGCCAGGTGATAACAGAGACAGTGACTAAGCAACTACCTGGTGGGTCATGTACATCGTGTACAATGTGCTGGTCAAAAGATTGTTCGTGGGCTGGAGAGATGGCTCAGTGGTCTAAAGCACCTACTTGGAATAAGCTTGGCAAGGCATCAGGGACCGCGGTTCAGTCTCCCAGCACCACATGCCAGCCAGCCCCGCCCCCTGGTGGGCTGAGCTGGCCACACACACCACACTCTCTCTCTCTCTCTCTCTCTCTCTCAAATAAATAAAAATTTATTAAAAAAAAAAAAAAAAAAAAAAAGATTGTTCGTGTTCACAGGGGGATGAAGTAGGCAGGTGCAAGATTTTAGCATGCTACTCAGAGCAGTATACAATTTAAAACCTATGAATTGTTTATTGCTGAAATCTTCCATTTAATACGTCCAGAACTGAAACCGACCCCAGGAATAAATGCAAAAGGCTACTATACTAATCTCCAATCCCGTGGGAGACAATTTACCAATTCAGCAACTAACCATTATGCTACAGATTAACAAATTTCTGATGTCCATTAAACCTAAAAGTTAGCACCTGCTGAGGTAGTGTAGCGGTCAGGGTTTGATCCCCGGGTGCCATGCCGGCCCCGCCCCTGAGATGTGCTGAGACAGCGATTGAGACTCGGCGTGGTGGCGTGCACCCATAATCCCAGCACTTGGGAAGCTGAAATCAGGAGAACCACTATGAATCTGATCTACATAGTGAGACCCTGTAGACCCTATACTAAATACATAAAAATAAAGATAAAAATAAAACCTAAAAGTTGGGGCCAGCGAGATAGCTCAGTGGTCCAAAGCACCATAGGCAAGCTTAGGCAAGTGCACAAGGACCAAGGTTCAATCCCCAGCACCACACGCCATATGCCAGTGCCATCCCCAGGGAAGGCTGAACCGGCCACAAAAAAAAAAAAAAAAAAAAACCCTAAAAGTTAAAACTTTCCTAAACTAACCATGGTCTGCTTCTACTTTGTATTTACTGTAGGTACACCTAATGTCCCAACCCTACAAGAGCTGTCCTTGCTGTAACTTCAAGTATCATCATTATATACGACCAATAGGTTAGGGAAATTACAAATACCCTTTCGTAGACAGGCAAAACTCATCACAGAAGTAACTAGAGGAGTTGATGGCTCTTTCTTAACACATAGACCAAAGGTGGGTGAGACAGCTCAGTGGACTAAGTGCCTGCTTAGACAAGCGCAGGGACCACGGTTTGCTGCCCTGGCCCCACATGCAGGGAGCACTGAGACCGGGCATGGCAGTGCCCACCTACAATCCCAGAGCTGAGGAGGCTGCAAACAGGAAGATCACCAGAAGTCTGAGCTACATATTGAAACCCTGTACCAGATACATAAAAAATAAACAAATAAAAGACAGACCAATATTCCAAATGAATCTCAACAAGCAACATATCTATTTTTTAAAAAGCCAGCCCCGAAAAATGTATCTTTAAAAAATGAAGCAGTCATTCAAGCACATTTACAACATTATCTTCATTAGGCAAGATTTCTTGTATATGTACCTCTTACCTTTTATTTATTTGTTTGTTTACTCTTGGTACCGAGGATTGAAGTCGGACATGCTATTGCCAGGCAGGTGTTTCCGCCGCTAAGCTATATCCCCAGCCCTTGCATATGTTCTTCTAACCAGACACTTTCTATCCATAAGTCATTGCAATAATACAGGTATATTCCTGACTTTAAAGATAAGAAAAGAAAGCTGAAAGAGGCCACTCACCTAGTGAGCTGTAGAATTAAAACTTAAATCCAGACATGCCTTTCTATAGCATGACATTCTACTAGCTAAGCCACATGAGTCCTGATGCTCATGATTAACAAAAGTAGGTGCTTAGGAAAATCACATTACAGCCAGTAAATAAAATTCCATGCAAGTGTTAAAAGTTACAGAGGTAGTTCTGCTAACAAGAAAACTGTGGCATCTTCACGTCTTCCTTGGCGGAGGACTTTACGTTGATCATTTCATTTCACATTCTCCTAACAGTCATTCAAGATGAATATTTCTACCTCCATTTCAGACAGGGAGAAACAAGGTTAAGGGCCAGGGACTCTACCAGGAAAAGTGATAGTGCTACCAAAGGGATCCAGGCCAGCTGGGCCCCAAGCTCTATTTTTTTAATCATTTTTTAAAATATTTTTATTTATTCATGTATTTGGTACAGAGTCTCGCTACACAACTCACACTCATAGTGACCCTCCCATCTCAGCCTCCCCAGTGCTGGGATTACATATGTGCGCCACCATGCCCGGGTTCCATGGCTGGCACGGCACACCCCAGGCTACCTGACTGGCTACCGGGACCAAACCCAGGGACTTGCGCTTGCCAGAAAGGCACTTAGACCACCGAGCTATCTCTCCAGCCCCCATTTTTTTAATCATTGCACTGTGCAGTATCACACACAGTAGCTGCCCAGCATGAAGCTGGCCAAGGACTTTCTTCTTCCCCCAGTAACTGTAACTCCTGCCTTCTGAGTCTGCATTAAAGAAAATATGGGGGCAGGGGAGATGACTCAGTAGAAAGCAAGTGCAAGGGCCTAAATTCAATCCCCAGTTCCACAAATAAAAAAGAAGAAAGAGAGAGAGAGAGAGAGAGAGAGAGAGAGAGAGAGAGAGAAAATAAGACCACAGAACATTTCAATTGGAAGAAGTAAAATGATTAAGATACACTGTGCATATGTACTAATTCCCCAAGATGAACTTAATTATTATGTATCAAAAACATGTATTAATTTTAAAAAATTAGTTTAACAACAAAAACCGTTAAAATCGTTCTTGACTTTTCAGCAAGTAATTTCTCATTTGATTCAGTATTTCTTTGACCCAGAAAAAAAAATAAATTCATTTTCTTTCAATATTTTCAATTTTTAGGAAATGAGGTTTCAACCAGACCCTACTTTTCCTTTCTTTTCTTTTTTACTTTTTCCTGGACTTTCAAATATACACTGAAATGCGAGTCCATGGTTGTCAGTAAGGAAATAGTTAAATTTTGAGCTGCACCCAGGTGGATGCCTCCCACAACCATCAAAGAAGAAAAATAAAAAAGGTCACAGGCAGTTGCTCGTTAGACCCGCCTCAGTAGAACATCTGTAGCACCACACACACCGCTGGCCATCAGCCTTCTGCTTGCTGCAGTCAGAGTTAGCAGTGACTGATTTTAGGACCTGGTTTAGCGGCAAAGATTCAGAGAGGGGTGCGCGGGCCCTCTGGCCTCCAGGTAGGTCCAATACCTTCATTTCTACCAAAGCTTGTTTATAAATTTGAAGGGACTGGTGACACAAGCTCCAGAGACACGTGAATTGCAGATGGCCCAGGGGCCCACGGGGAAAGGGATGAAGCAGAATTTAGAAAGTATGGGGCTTCCTGTTCTCTGGCTGCTTGCAAGGATTTAATTCCTACACTTTCAGCGCACTCTTGTTAATCGTAGCACATAAATGTTTCTCTGGTATTAGTGTAGAAAGAAAAACTGAATTCTGGTTTTGCTGCCAGAATACTGTACGCTTCCCACCTGACTAACCATGCAAAATAGTGTTAACTCACACATTACATGCCTGCAGTTACGACGTGCTAGATGTCTTGTATAGGAGGTTGCTTGCTATTTGGAGCAAGCAGGAAACACAGGCAGCACTGATCAGGAGGATGTCCTGCTTTGGAGTATTCTCTCTCTCTCTCTCTCTCTCTCTCTCTCTCTCTCTCTCTCTCTCTCTCTCTCTCTTTGGAAAGAGAAGCAAGTGAGTTCAGAGCCAGGAAAACTACAAACCCAGCCCTTCCACCATTAGTCTGCTTTTGATACTCAACTATGCCCTGGCTTCAAAGTGAATAAATGAAAATCTCCCTGCTGAGGAACACTACCTTGTGCCTGGGAAATTGTATAAGCGTACCAGTCTTACATTTTTGCCTTTTAAAAAAGGAATCTTTAATGTGTCAGCTTTGAAATTTCCCTCAGTTAAAGAACAGTGTCTTATTTTTAAAAATCTGCCTCTTTTTGTCTAGTCTATTTAAAGAAAAATTCTTCAGTAGGTTATTTTAAATCTAGCAAAATCTTTTTAGAACTTCCTAAAAACCAAGAGAAGACTGATATAGTTCCATTAAAACCCTGGAAGAGATACAATGGTCTACTCCAGAGAAAACAATCACATAAGTAAAGCAAAATATCTCGATATTAGCTTTTATAAAAGATGTTTAAAATAAGCAAGCTTTGGCAACAAGGCTGCCTTCAAACAAAATAGAGAAGCTCTCTGAAGATAGTCACTCAACATGCTGCGCATAATCACCTCCAGTTTTCATTTACTGAACTGTGAATCAGTAATATAGTTTTTTTCATTCCTAGGGATAGAATTTTCTTACTTGTTCGGATGCCTTCTTTTATGTATACCTGGATAGCCCATGAATAAATAAAGCACTCACCCAGGTCATTTCACAAGTAGGGTAAAATCTGAATTTACAAACCACTACGGTCTAAGGAAGAGAAAGGCTTGCTTTCATAAATTTGGCAATAATAAATCTTGGGCACCACTTCCTCACTTGGTTTAATAGTCCACAAGCTAATTACTAAAAGATCGTACCTTGAGGAGCATCCCAAGTAAACTAAAAAGTTATTAACTATGGGAAAATATCCAGCAATTAATAACATCTGATCTATAAAAGTGCTTCAAGGAAAAAAAAATGAAAATCAAAAAATCAACATTTCATTAGAATAACCACAGATTCACAATGATCCAACTAATAAAAATAAACTATGGTACTAACTAATTATTAATCATTTCCTATGTGATTTACATGTGTTACTGCACTGATTTCTCAAAGCAAGCCCATAACTAGGTACTGATATTGCCTTCATTTTCCAGATTAAAAAATAGAGAAAATAAGTTTGCCCAAGGCAACATAGCAATTAAGTGTCAAGGCCCCAGATCTGGACTCAGAAAATCTAAGTTTACATCCAGTATATTTAATGAAGGATTGGAGATATAAGAATACTAATAGCCCTTGTTATTTACATTGACTCACCACCAGCACCCTCAGCATCCATATTTATCCAGTTTATCATTTCAAATTTTATAACCAATGACCAGATTCCAATATGCTAACGCCCCTTCTAACCACTTCCAACCTTGCACGAGTTGTCCCAGATGGCAGATAACTGTGCTCTAACAATCTTACTTTTGATAAAATCAAGAATAATCATGATAATAACTGTCAAACCTGGTGGGAAGCTGTTCCAAGTGCTTCGTGTATATTAAATTACCAATCATAATTGCCACCAACCTATGAAGTAGACATAATTATCTCCTTTTACAGATGAGAAAACTGAGGCACAGTGAGATTAAACAACTTGCCAAAAGTCATAAGATTAATGACAGAGCTGAGATTTGAATCCAGCCAGTCACGTAGTAAGCGACAGAGCTGGCACTGTGTGTAGCTATTCTGCTTTTAGGTACATTAACTTTTTACTCTAAATGTCAGTGAATCTGTGTTGTTTTGTTTCCCTTACTTTTTGGTGTCTAAAACTTCCCTGACAAACAGAAAATGTATTTTACATTATTATGAGTGAGGTAGCAGTAATAAAATTAAAAGTTATCCAATTTACATCTAGATGTACCACTGTAAATGTCATAATACAAACTTGAGATCCTGGATAATTCTGGCTCCCTCTTTGCTTAGTGCCTGCTTTCTAGAGAACTGGTACAGAATTACCAGTTCTCAAAGTTCGTGCGCTGGAAAGAGATCTGAAATAAAAGCTACTAAGACTGTCTTCCTGAAAAGGGAGATGTGTTTAGGAACCTTCTCTGCCTCTCTAAAACAATCCTAAAAACAGGAGAAGGGGCAGCTAAGGAGACAAAGGGTCTTTACACTGGTACTTGCAGAAGTCTAATTAACTAGTACATTTCCATTACTAAAACCGGAAGAGTAAAATCATGATCAAGCAGTTTCTCCCCTTAAAGCCAGATATCTTGCTCTCTAGGGTCATCACAGTCTGTGCAGAGCCCGCTGCGCCTTTAACCCCCTGCAATTCTGGGCCCATCTCCAAAGAGTCCAGGCGTGTCTATAACGACAGCTCCGCCGTAGCCTCCCTTACGGTGCGGTTTCCAGGCAACCATACTCGGGCCAGAAATAGCTGTGCCTCCCGCTGGGTCGCCCGTTTCTAAGAGTGCCCCTGAGGATCAGGCAATTCCAAGACATGGGTTTGCCATCCATCCATCCTGGTGTCGCAGCCTTCTGCAACCCAAAGTGAGGTGTGTGCCAACCTCTCTCACCTCCCGTGACCCAGTGGTCTGCGCCTCGGCTCTCATCTAGTCACTTCGCACTTTTGGTGTCCTTATTCAGAAGGCTCCCTTTTTGGAGCAACGAAAGCAATTATCTTAGCTACCGTACTATACAGAAAAGATTTCTGGGAAATGTGGTTCTTTTGTCTTTCGTGTAAGGACTCTTGGAGGAAAAGAACTACATTTCCCAGACATCAAATGGTGAACAGTCCAGCTCCAAAATATGTCCCAGCAGCTTGGACTATATTTAGCAAGAAGGTTCCGTCTCCTTTTGCGTCCCTAACTGCTTGAATTTTGTTCGTCTGATCATAGTTGAAGCTTATGGGAAGCTTTTTTTTTAAACACGCTTTTTTGCGTGTGAAAGAATCTGAACATAGTGAAAATAGTCTAAATCATTTTATTTTATAATTCTTTCAGATAAAAGATCTACTGTCTATTGGAAAATATGTCACTGCAAATGGTAACAGTTGGTAACAACATAACCTTAATTCAGCCAGGCTTTTCGCTAATGAATTTTGATGGGCAAGTTTTCTTCTTTGGTCAGAAAGGCTGGCCGAAGAGATCCTGCCCCACTGGCGTTTTCCATTTTGATGTGAAACATAACCATCTCAAACTGAAACCCGCAGTTTTCTCTAAGGATTCCTGCTACCTCCCTCCGCTTCGCTACCCAGCCACTTGCGCATTCAAAGGAAGCCTGGAGTCTGAAAAATATGAGTATATGATCCATGGAGGGAAAACACCGAACAATGAGCTTTCAGATAAAATTTATGTCATGTCTATTGTTTGCAAGAACAACAAAAAAGTTACGTTCCGCTGCACAGAGAAAGACTTGGTAGGAGACGTCCCAGAAGCCAGATATGGTCATTCCATTGATGTGGTGTACAGTCGAGGGAAAAGCATGGGCGTGCTCTTTGGAGGACGATCTTACATGCCTTCTGCGCAAAGAACCACAGAGAGGTGGAACAGTGTAGCTGATTGCCTGCCCCATGTTTTCTTGGTGGATTTTGAATTTGGGTGCGCTACATCATACGTTCTTCCGGAACTTCAGGATGGATTATCTTTTCATGTCTCGATTGCCAAAAATGATACCGTTTATATTTTAGGAGGACATTCACTCGCCAACAACATCCGCCCGGCCAACCTGTACAGAATAAGGGTTGATCTTCCCTTGGGTAGCCCCGCTGTGAGTTGCACCGTCTTGCCAGGAGGAATCTCTGTGTCCAGCGCAATCCTGACTCAAACTAACAATGATGAATTTGTTATCGTTGGCGGCTATCAACTTGAAAATCAAAAGAGGATGGTCTGCAACGTTGTCTCTTTAGAAGACAGCAAGATAAAAATCTGTGAAATGGAAACGCCAGACTGGACCCCCGATATTAAGCACAGCAAGATATGGTTTGGAAACAACATGGGAAATGGAACTGTTTTTCTTGGCATCCCAGGAGACAATAAGCAGCCTGGTTCTGATGCGTTCTATTTTTATGTGTTGAAATGCTCTGAAGACGATGCGAATGAAGATCAGAAAACGTTCACAAACAGTCAGACGTCAACAGAAGATCCCGGAGACTCTACTCCCTTTGAAGACTCGGAAGAATTTTGTTTCAGTGCAGAAGCGACTAGTTTTGATGGTGATGATGAATTTGACACCTATAATGAAGACGATGAAGAAGATGAGTCTGTGACAGGCTACTGGATAACATGCTGCCCTACTTGTGATGTAGATATCAACACTTGGGTGCCATTCTATTCAACTGAGCTCAACAAGCCTGCCATGATTTACTGTTCTCATGGAGATGGGCACTGGGTCCATGCGCAGTGCATGGATCTGGCAGAACGCACACTCATCCATCTGTCAGAAGGGAGCGACAAGTATTACTGCAATGAGCATGTGCAGATTGCAAAAGCACTACAAACTCCAAAAAGAGCGCTGCCCTTACAAAAGCCTCCAATGAAGTCCGTCCGCAAAAAAGGTTCCGGGAAAGTCTTGACTCCTGCCAAAAAATCCTTTTTTAGAAGATTGTTTGATTAGCTTTGGGGAAATTTTTTTTTTTTTCTGATTCCAGGGCATTGATTTTTAAACACATCTTTAAATCATGACAATGATAAGCATTTTTCTTCAACTTTTGTTTATTGAACATTGTTTTCTTTTACTTATGTGACTTGAGTGCTAGCATTGTCATATATTGCTAAATACAGTGTTTTTAGGACCTATACATTTTTTAAATCTTTTCCTTAAAGATTCATTAAGTGAGGGGCTGGTGAGATGGCTCAGTGGTCTAAAGCACCTACTTAGAACAAGCTTAGCAAAGCACAGGGACCGCAGTTCAATCCCCCAGCACCACATGCCAGCCAGCCCCGCCCCCTGATGGGCTGAGCTGGACACACACACACACACACACACACACACACACACGCACACACACACACACATAAATAAATAAAATTTTTTTAAAAAGATTCATTAAGTGAGAATTTTTCATTTTATTTTTAATAGTACACTGTTGCCATACATATAGATCACATTTGTCATAGAGAATTTTTACCTGTACTTAACACATCTTAATTCTTTTTCCCATTTCCCTCCCATCCCTTCAACCCTGTATCTCTTCTCCATTTACAAAAGATCTGTTTCAAGTTTTCTGGCATTCTATTTTTGTATGAAATGAGAATTTTTATCTGATTTCTATTCAAAAAAATCTTAAATAAAAACCAATAATAATCAAAATATGCTTATATCACTTGTATCATTTTAGTAGCAATATACAAATTAGTTAAGACAAACTTAACCCAAAGGAAGATAATATAAAAGAATTAATTGCTGTGTACAATATAAAAATAGGGTAATTAGCCAGAGATTCAAACCAAGATCTCACACTAGAGTTCTTTGTAGATCTTTAAGGGAATTTTTGGGTTATACCCAAGAACAGAGCAACTTAAATTTCTATATAACCTCCACGTATATGAAAGGAAAAAAATAATTTGCAATATTTTGGGCACGTGTTTTTCAATTAAGGATTTCAGATACTCGTGCTCCCCATAATACGATACACTGATGTTGTCCACAGCCAGTAGTTGGACCCATTATTTGAGTGGCTCTTTCTCAAAAGAAAAGAGCACCGATGATATCAAGCATTCCAGAGAAAAGAGATGAGTGAAAGTATGCTGAGAAAAAAACTGCCAAATAAATCTCATAGACAAGAACAGTATCGACTATTTCCTCAAAAAAATAAAAAAGTTTTGTGAAGAGAACAGGCACATGGTTGTTAATGGGGATTTAAAATGTAATGTGTTTCTGTCTTGTTACCATGTGCATTTTTTCTATTTCTCAGAGAATATTACAGGATCGCTGGCTTTGTCAGTGTTCTAGTAAATACTTGGAGTTATGACTTCTGCCTAGTTGTCGCCCCGAAGTCTCATGTAAGTTATGAGGCAGACGTGGCTGGAGGAGCAAAGAGTGTCTCGAAGGGCGGGGCCCGAGGGGCGGGGCCAGAGGGGCGGGGCCAGAGGGGCGGGGCCGAGGGGCGGGGCCAGAGGGGCGGGGCCCGAGGGGCATGAACCATTAAACTGGCTAGCCTGTGCTTTCTCAGAGATGTGGACGGGGTCATCCTGGACACAGCAGCACCCCAGCCTCTGCTCCAGTGTCTTGAAACCTCCAGTAACTGTGAGCTAAATAAACCCTTCCTTCTCTCATTTTGAGTGTCGGGTATTTGTCCCAGCAACAAGAGAAAAGTAACTAAGACACTTGGTAACTAGTTAGATGGGCTGTTATTTGTGAGGCTTTAAAACTTCAGTTGATAATTACATGAACTTAAAAATAAAGATCTTCTGTCCTACAATATTTTTTCTGAAAAAATATTTCACCTTATCCTAAACTATTCAGCCATCATCTCTTATTCATCATTATTCATCAAAATTCCAACATGTTTAATATTACCAAACTTAGGAGACTCATGAAATCACAAGAAAGGAAACCTCAGAGCCCAAGTTCTTTTACTAATGTCTACATGTCCCAGACACTGGAGTTGAGTTGGACAAACCAAATCATGTTCTCTTTCAACATTGCTTGATGAATATTTCTTTTGAATGATTTATGGTAATTTTTATTTAAATTTTTGTTTCAATCACCCATATGAGAATACTAAACTGTAGAAGTCTTCTGCTTTTACTAATTTGCTCAAATTAGTAACATTTACAAGGGCCAGCCAAATAGCTCAGCAGATTAAAGTGTCTACAAGCAGGCATGGAGGCCGCGAGTTTGATCCCCAGGCCTGCTGTAAGGGCCCTGCTCAATAAATTACATGAAAAGACAAAACAAATAAATAAATGTAATGAATGCTAACAGTTTTAGCGTTTTTTATTTCCCCATGAAGCATAGACTTTTAAAAGCTAAAGCCAAGATGAAAAGAAAAAGTAGAAGGAAAACAGAAGACTTCTACAGTTTAGTATTCTCATATGGGTGATTGAAACAAAAATTTAAATAAAAATTACCATAAATCATTCAAAAGAAATATTCATCAAGCAATGTTGAAAGAGAACATGATTTGGTTTGTCCAACTCAACTCCAGTGTCTGGGACATGCAGACATTAGTAAAAAGTCCATCATACCCTCCCTAGTCTGCTCAGCATTCTGCATTGATTTGTACTGTTACAGGTAAATCAGCAAAAATCCTGGTTACTACAAGGTGCTAACTTTCTGATTCTGCCAACCATGAGTTCCATGAGAACTAGAACAAAAGCCCTTATACTTTCTGTGTACTATGGGTACAACATAATACGTGGCATCTTGTATACATTCAAATGTTATTGAACTGAGTTGAACTAAATGCTCTAGTTACATCTGTCCCTGAGGACCAGGGAGATAGGCCAGTGGCCTAAATGCCTGCCCGGCAAGTGCAAGGACCCAGGTTCCATCCCAGGTAGGAGATACCTTGCCAGCCCCACCCTGAGCATGCTGTGCCAGCCACCGAAACCAGGCATGGTGGTGCACACCTATAATCCCAGCACTGGGGAGGCTGAAAACGGGTGGATGACTACTAGTCCAAGCTGCATAGTGAGACCCTGTACCAAATTTTAAATAAATATCCAGCAGAAAAGTATAAAAAT